GAGGAAATTCAGAACATCAAATTCAAGATTCTAAAATTCAATACGCAGAAATTCTGATCGTAGAGAAAGTAGGTCAGAGGTAATCCATAATATATATATATATATATATAGGATTGTAGGTTGATACAGTGTGCCTCTGTAGCCTTGTAGTCCTCTGTAACGGCGTCCAGAATAATTATTTTTTATATGAATAATAAAATCGCTATATAGGCTCATTTCAAGTGTTTAGGAGTTTGGGAGTATTATCACGCTTACTGTATGACATGGATCAATCCCTTGCATTTTTTTCCTGCGGAAAGAACTTAAAATAAACTTGTGACTAGTTGACTAGAAAAAAAATCTTTAGTCGGGGGCAGGCTTGGCACAAGGAACCGATCTATTCTTAAAATAAAATGCTATGACATTACGAATTACTGCAAATCACGTCCCGTATTGCATTGCATGGGTTATCCATGTGAGTCAAATGTTTTTATTTTATTTAATCTTTTTTATGTATGGGGGTGCTAGCCCCTAGCGCCGCCCAGTAAAGACTATTATAGTGACATACAGGAGTCATACACTAGGCGCGCATGTGTCCATTATTACTGATGCGCGAACAAACCTATCTGCACTCATGGCGCACTGATCGCTATAACATCATATTTCTGCTTGAACACAGTTCTGTATATTCATGTAGTTGTCAAAAGTAATGTACAGCAAGTGTTTTATAACATAAAACTGATGCTCGCTGAAGAAGCATGTTCTGGAGAAGTTTCTGAGAATCAGTTATGTACATATTTGCATAAAACGCTTTAAATTCACTTATTCTGACAGAGGAACTATTCAATGATGACATCGACCCGCCTTCCGATCGCTGAGTTTCCACACATTCAGAATGGTTTCATTTTACAATTTGGTGTGTTTAGTCATTCTGCATGGATCTGTGTATGCCGTCTTTTGGCGTCTCCCTGTGGTCTTGTTTGGTATGGCAGGTTGACTTGTGCTTATTTGTTAAAGTTACTGTATAATTAAGGTTTACGTACTTTTAAGAAGCCAATTTTAAGTTGTAAAGAATATCTGCAGTGATATTTTTGCAAAGTATGTATTGATCTGGAGAGGAGGGGGCCTTGGAGTAAAAAAGGTTGAGAATAACTGGCTTAGACAAATGTTTCACATGCTGAGAATGCTAACCTAACATATAAGTATATAAACCATAAATGTTTAAGAATCACTTAGGCTACCTCTGGGCGATTCATGATCAGGTAGATCTTAAACCGCACGCTCACGCCAGAAAACAACTAAGTGGCCCAAATGACTTTGACTTTTCGGAGATCATTTACACTTCCCTGTGGATTTTCTCTGACCTACTTTCTATACGATCTGAATTTCTGCGAATTGAATCTTAGAATATTGAATTTGATGTTCCGAATTTCCACTTCATCTTGAAAACTTGGAAGCTGTATTTTTAAAAACTGGATATTTGCAGTCTAAGATTTTAGAACAAAAAATTTGCTGTTTGAAAATACATGTCTTTAAAACTCTACCATAAAAATATTCAGTTGTGTTAAATTTCAAATGTTTAATATTCAAGTAAAAAAAATCTAATTCAGAACTATGTTAAATGCCACATAATATTCAGTTTTGTTAAATGTCACTTGTCAATAATTAAAATTTACACCATGCAAATTAAATTAGTTTTGTCATATTATAAGTGTATTTGATCTCCTGCCTGTCTTGGATTCTTCTATTGCCTACCTCTCTGGACATTGTTCGCCGATCTCAGACCCACGCTAGCCTTTGGATTACTCTTCATCTTGCCTCTTCTATTACTGTTTGCTGTGTATCGACCCAAGCCTGTTTCATGACCACGCCTTTTAATATAAGCATGCAAATGAATCCGCATGTCTCACGTCTCTGTCGCCCCGTAACAATAATCTCCATACCTCTCTGTCATACCCAAAGACTGAACTCTAACAAAATAACATGTAGATTACATCCTTCATGTTATTACTGAATGTCCCATAACATATTATAAAATATAAATGAAAGCTTTTTAAACAAAATCCCAAAAATTAACCTTTCATTCAGATCGCTTACCTTCTTTAATGACAGTCTCTTGTGTTATTCACACTGTATATGAGCAGAGTGCTTATAAAAATAGACAGCTGAGAAATGAAGCATGCCAGGATTTATTGCTATGGTGAGCTGTCATCGCCTACACGAAAACCTACAAATATTATGCAGGTGTATGAGGCAGCCCTCAGCTCTCAGTTTTATATCTAACAGTCAGGGGACAGGGCAAAAGGATTAACCACCTAAATGTTTCATACAAAAATTACCACATGACTTCAGAAGACTTGAAATATTGAGTATGAATCATATGGACCACTTTTATGGTACATTTATTGTGCTTTTTCGTCATCATCATGAGCTTAACATTTTGTAGTATCTGCTTTCTTTTATCATTAAGAACAGTGTGAACATTCTTCTAAATATCATCTTTTGTGTTCCACAGAAGAAAGTCAATTATACGGATACACTTTTAAAACGGAGCACTTTAAAGCATGGAAATCAGCTCATTTACATAACACAATAGCAAACAAGACTTTAAGATAAGTCTTTAAGATTGAGGTTAGCTCACTTTGCTTAGGCAATATAAGTTGCCTGATACAATATCCAACTGTTCTTCAAAAATTACTCACAAAAATGTCTTTCAATTGATCCCCCTGAATAATTTCAACCCAGGCTCATTGGAAAAACATGCCTGGGGTGATATTTCTACAAAATGATATTCTTTTTTATATTTCATACATATTTCGTACATATTTAAATGTACAGTGAGTGGGGCTATTTTGTCTGAAACGGATGAACGTGAATAGCAACGTTGTCGAACGTATCACAGCAGTTGGGAAAATGAAATGCCACTAAAAGGTTAATGCTCTAGTGCATTTAATAATAACATATCACTAAACTCTACCATAAACCTAATCGATAGTGTTAACAAAAGCAAACATGACCTAAAAACACATTTGCTGAAGCAACCATGCCATTTCATCTTGCCTCTACAAGTCTGAGCTCTTTAATCATGACTGTTGTTTCGCAGGATACATAGAGTGCTTTGGATCACAAGTGCATAGCTGTACCAGGTGAGTAACCGAGCAAGTTTACTACAGCAGAAAATCTGTACATATGGAGCTGGTTATTTGATGCAAACGTCAAAATGTATTCGTTTACAACTCATGCACTATGGTTATACTGTTGTGAGGTTATATCATGGTAGTACATAATCTGCCCAGATAATTATTTGCATGAAAAGCAATAAAAGTTGTTGGTGTTTTACTGCCATTAGTGTTCATTTCAGCTAAAAACTGCAGTGAATTACATTTATAGGTACATTTTTGCGATAGAGGATTTGTGCCACTTGGTCATTTAATGCTACTAAAGATAATGTTTATCATACTTATAATAACATTTAGAGGGTAAAATGACCAACCATGTAACAGATCTTACCACTAACCAATGAGAAAAACACCAAAGCTTAATCTGCACCATCCAGCAGGACAAGTCCTCTTCTGATTCATAACCTCAAATTGGAAACTACAGAAACTGACTCATCGTTATAAAGACACCGTTGGATAAACAACACTCGCTCAGTACAGCAGGTCGAGACAGAATAGAGAGCTGTTGTACAGGCACTGAACTGGGTGTTGCTTGTTAGTGATAAGATGCTGGATGTGTTTTGATGGCATACAGAAGAAGAAGAACAGACAGCGGTTTGACTGCATGCTGCTGCAGGGAGAGCCGACACGCCTGATTGGACAACAACACCAGAGATGAAACCATAGCAATGCAAGCTGGGAACACTCATGGTGGTGTGTGTATGTGTGTGAGTGTGTGCACACTCACCTCTCTCCACTGCTTGGTCTCCACACCCTGAGTGTACAAGACGCACACTGTGAAAAGGGACAAAAATAGCAAAAATTAGTGCTACACTCTCAGAAAAAAAGGTGAAGCTGTGATTGGGGCGATACCCTTTCAAATAGTGATGCACCTAAATGAAAATTCTGGGCCAAAACCAAAATCGAAAATTAAAGATACACTTGGCAAAAAAAATGAAAATGAACGCTGTTGAGCGAATTCTTAAACACCGCTGATTGGCTGATTGGTGAACACAATGGCCAATCAGCTGTGTTTAAGAATCCGCTCAGCAGTGCTCAAATGCTAGCTGGAAATTGACAGTTTTAAAATTTCAATACTGACTGGTACTGAAGTCGGTACTTTTGGCATCTCTAAGACAGACTAAAAATTGTCATTATTCACTGAAATCCGCACGAGTCCGTTCAAATATATCGCTTTAAAATGCAACACATCAGTGACATCATTAACAAACAGCAGGGATGGGAAATGTAACTGTTATAGTATTAGTATTTAGTATTATTTAAGTATTTGGAAATCAAAAGTGAAATTCTGTTGCCAAATGCTGGGATCATTTCAGTAATAAACATCAAAGATGAAAAAAAATATGTGGTAACATATTACATTAATTAATTTTTCTTTTAATATCTATTTTTATATAACATCACTTACAAGATTCGTAATGTGTATCTATATGGCACTTTCAATATGATCTATATTTATGTTCATTATGTAGCCATTATGATTTCAATATATACTTAAACATTTCTCTTTTGTGTTTCAAGAAAGAAAATCATACTGGTTTGAAATAATGTAATAGGGTATAATATAATAATAATAGGGTAATATAATAATATAATATAATAATAGGGTGAGCTGAATTTAAATTTTTTGAGCAAACTATTTATTTTATTATAACCCCTAGCAGATGAGAAGTAAAGAGATATTTCTTTCAGAAAGGAAAGAGATTCACTTAGTTAAAACGCTGAAACTCCATCCAACTCTTTCTTTTCTCCCTCTCTCTTTTTCAGCTCAATCTGTCAGTTCTCTTCAAAGGGTCTCTATGAAACTTGCTGCCATTGTGCATTTGAGTGCATTTTCATTCAGGTTCGTTGGAGTCATGCAGAGCGTTGTAGATGAGAAGAACTCATCAGAATCACGCTGATGTTTTGATGAGAGGCGAAAGACAAGAGATCACAGAGAAAACGAGTGGGGGTCGCTAATTAATGCAGAAAGAGTATAAAATGAAGAGACGATAGCTCAGTTTCATCTTCCATTGGCTGTACTCACGTGGATCAGATTTGGAGAACGTGTCTCTGTCTAAAAGATTCCTGTGGAGAAAAAAAAACAAAAAACAAGATCAGTGACACATTGACATATGAAGCTTTATTGAAGAGGCTTTTTGACAATTTCATTAAACTGGCTTATTAGAATTCCACAAAAGCAGATATCAGGATAAAGGTTCAAGATGACATCCAGAAATGTTGACTATAGGTTCCCACAAAAATACTAAGGGGATTTTCAAGTTTAAACCCTGCTTAAATAACATCACATTTGTCATTTCAACTACTGTAGCAGGAACACTACTCAGAAACAAAATTTCACTTTCAACATGTAAGGTAAACTTATGTCTTCAGAAACAATATGAGAAAAGAAAAGAAAATGTTAACGCTTAAAACTAAACAACTAAAACTAAAGTTATAAATGTTGCTTAGGTAACAACTGAAAAAAAGCTTAAAATGAAGGACTAAAATTACTAACTGGAAATAAATAAGCTGAAACTACAAGTGAAATAATAATTAAGAAAGAAAGAAAGAAAGCAAATAATAAAATTCAAAATTCAAAATATTAACAAAAACAATAATAGTATAAAAAATTTAAAATGATGTTGTCCAATAAATTCAATAACCAAGTTTATTAACCTTATAAGCATGAAAATAAGAATAGGTTTAGTTTAAAACATTGAAATCTAAACCTGTGCAAATCTGACACTGAAATATGCTATAAAACATTGGATAATGACTTTTTAATTACTTTTAACAGACTTTTACAAAAGTTGTAAAAGTTGCAATTGTAATAATCGTGAGGACATACACCACTGATCACATGATCAATGACAAAATTACTCATATTAATGATCATGTGTACAGTTGGCTTACAGTTGGAAATTTGAATGCTATGGCCTTGTGTAGATATTTAAAAATTGCCACCTTTAAGCATGACTGTTGAAATGAAATGGTAATGCTTAACAGTAAGAGTCCATTTGTAATATTAATGAAAGCTGTAGGAGTATTCTTCCTAGTGTGTTCATTTCAACATTTACTATTACTAATAGGCTACATTTTTAAACATTAAAGTTTCTTCTTTTAACATTAGTAAACTATGAAATAACTTTAATGATCAATATAATAATTAATATTAATATGTTTATTCATTTACAAAGTATGGTTCAGTACTGCTACAGCTTTTTTTTAAATAGTAAAGCACTGTTTTAGTTTTCGTTTAGTATCCATTTTTAAAACTATCGGTTGATTAATCGTATCGGCCAGTGTGGTCCAACCTAGTTATCGGTATCTGTAAAATTCACTATCGGTCGACCTCTACCAAAGACTATAAAATACCCCAAGACGTGTCACTCGTATAGTTTTGAATGGGGAAAGCCGCGATCTCCCAGCGCCTCGATCAGGTTCAGGTCAGCCCGCAGGTGGGTCGCACGGCCGCGGCGTCGGCGGAGGCACCCGCGTCACGCCGGTCCGAGCCCCGCCTTAATCCTCCGGCTTCGTACGCGGGTGAGCCCACTTCATGCCGCTCCTTCTTATCACAATGCTCCCTGACCTTTTCACTACAGCCTTCCTGCTTCCCCACTGAGAGTTCCAGGGTCGCCTTTGTGATAATGCATCTGGCTGGGATGGCTAGAGAATGGGGAACGGCTATGTGGGACAATGGGAGCGAATGCTGCAGTTTGTCAGTACCGGTACCTTCTCCGACTCCTTTCTGCCTCTCACCTGTGCGCTGTCGTTGTCATTTGCACGTGGTGGTTGTTTTGGTCCTGTCAGTTTCAGACACGCATGGTGGAGCAATCAGCGCGCACTCGCGGGGCGGCGCGCTCTATTAGCCCGCACCTGGTACTCATTCCCACTTCCTATATATTCCTGTCTTTGTCTTTTTTTAAGCGTGGGTATGTCTTATGTCTTTATGTGCCATATGGGCGCGCTTTTGAGTTTTCACTCTCCTCTACACTCTCTGCACTGTTTCCAGGATCCTCAGGCGAGGAATTAGTATCGCGACTGTGGACAGTGAGGCCGGATTGGGAGTACGATTCTGGACGTTTTCCGGTATTCCTCTCAGCCCCCTGTTTCAGCACTGGTTAGTTCTCACCACAGTTTTAAAAAATGCTAAAAAAAGTGGCCGTTGTGCGCTGAGGAGCGGAGGGAAGAGGGGAGACAGACAACACACACGCAGAGCTTCGCGTTCAGACAGTTTCATTTCGCTCCCATCGAGTTAAAAACACAAATAAATGCACAGCCATTTGCATCGAAAACATATATATGAAGGCGCTGTTGCACCTCTGATAACTTTTAAGTCTTATTCTGCAACGTTTATATAAGCCTTTTGACGGGTTGTGTCACAGAGCTGTAAAAACGGTTACACTCACTAAGTAAATGAATCGCGTTCGTGCCACTATAGTCCATTGCCACGTCACATTGTGACGTCAACACGATGTAGATTTTAAACCCAGAAGATGAAAATAGCGCAAAAAAAGATTAAAATTAACCAGTTTTCTCCAACAGTTAAAATTATGAGATGCTAACATTGTCTTCTGTGATGTGCAACACAAACACCTCTGCTAAAATCTCAGAAAAAGTAGTCTGGGGTTTCATGACCCTTTAAATATATTTATATATGATATAATTGATATGAATATAAATATATACACGTAAATACATGTAAATATTTTCAAAATATATGCTGTATGTGTGTGTCTTTATATATACATAATAAACATACACAGCACACACACATATATCATGTAAACATATATATATATATATATATATATATATATATTAGGGGTGTAATGGTTTACAAAATTCACGGTTCGGTTCAATACAACATAGTGGTGTCATGGTTCGGTTCGGTATGTTCGGTATGTTCGGTACGGGGGTAATTGGTTACGTCGCAATGTTGGAAATATTTCTGTTTTAAACCATGAAGGTGAGCCAATGGATATCACACACAAGCAATGTGCAAACTTTCACTATGCAGTAAGTGAAAGTAAAAACGTAATGACGGAGTAATGACGACGAGAGACGAATCTACTTCAACATATGCTAACGGTATATAGCTAACTGTTTTAATTTATTCCCTTAATATTTCTAATATTACATAGTGAAAAAAAATGTGAAGAAACATATTTCGTGTTAAACAGGTTCTTTTTGAAAGTCGGTGCTTGAAATAAAAGCTTTTTATTTCATTGATTTTTATTGATGACTGCAGTGTTCATATTTTAATTGTAGGCCTATAAGTCATTGTTTAGCTAATAGGCCTATATTAAAATACCTTTTTTTTTTTTACATTTTAATTGAGGAGAAAATATTTAGTCTAATCTTTTGTTATCCTCGCAGCACGTCAGTTATTTGGTAATTGTTATTTGGGCAAATTAATTGTAATTTTAATTTATTAGGCCTAATAAAAGTAACTTCATAATAATAATAATAATAATAATAGGCCTAATAAAAATAAGAATGTAACAGGCCTACATTAATTGGAAATGCCAAATATCTTAATATTGCCAACAATTGATGTTTTTGACAATATCTCTGGCTATCGTCGATACAAGATCATCGTCTTTCGACGCACCCCAGCAAGGGGAGGTTATCACGGAGCAGACAGCACGTTGCCTGTTACGTCGTTTGGACTGCCTTGTTGAGCACAGTGGCACTGAGAACATCATATTTCACACATTTTAAGCTGTTTATTTTCCAAATTAGTCCAACGAATCGGATCGTTCAGTTTGTAATGCGTACCGAACTGAAAGCCTCGTACCGAACGGTTCAATACAAATACGTGTATCGTTACACCCCTAACTGACATATATCTGATTTTCTCTCAACTGGTTATGTTCACTCAAGACATTTTGACAATTTGACATATTTTGTGTGTATTTGGCAATTTAGATGCAGAGCCACAGACATGACATACAGGGGAAAACATAAAAGATACCATAGCCATGGATTAAGAATTTGTTCCCATGACTTATTAATTCATTCCCTCGCAAGACAACGTGACTGATTGTGTTAAGGTTATCAAAAAAGAAGATTAATAGCAAGCAAATCGTGGAGAATAAACAAAGCACTACCTATCAACCAAAAGGTTAATTTGCAGTGTTTTACACATCCAAAAATTTAAGGGGGTCTGAATACTTTCCGTACCCACTGTATATATATATATATATATATACTGTATATATACACGTATAATAAAACTCTAATTAAGTAAAGTGATTTTCTTTTAAAGTGATCTGAAGACACACTCTGCTCTCCAGATATGAGGACACTTGATCAGCTGCGGTAAACTCTGAACACAGATATTGATTCCAGCGCTAGAGTTTCACTTCTGTTGATATGAGCTGTGTGCCTCACTCCCAGCGGCACGACTGTCATCACATCTCAACGTCTAAATCAGAAATGGCATTTCTATTATGAGGATTACACACACATACCCACACACACACTCAGGATGGACTCAGGCAGAATAGATGATCAGAGGGAAATGTGTGGTTTTGCTCTCACTAACAAAGCAGCTGTGATTATAGGTTCTCTCAGCAGCCGCCTGGAAAGGCCTTCACCCTACAAGTTTCTGCTTCACCTCATCTACAGGAACCTGCTCATAATCCTCTCATTTTCCTTAATCAACTGTGTTTATGCCCACTGCAGCCGATAATTACCATGTTGGCCTGAACCATCAGGAATACAGGAACTGACAGCAGAAAAAAATAATAAAGTGGACTCTCGCTGACGTTCAATACTTCAGGGTGTTTCATTTATGGTTACGTTTTCCGATTTATCTTTATAGTATACTTTTTATAGTATAAACTGAATTGTGATCTAGCATATATTTATTTTAACTACTGTATTTATAGCTTATTTTAAACTCCACAGTTTACTCTACTCATACTTTTTGTTGAGTTAATTATTTTTTTAGTAATTTTTTTATTTAAAGTAATTTTCTGAACAAATTAAAATAACAAAATAAATACAATTATTAAAATAATCAAAATGAATTATATGAATAGATAATCATATAATATATTAATAGCTAAAAATAAAAA